GGTCTCGATCTCCTGACCTCGTGATCCGCCCGTCTCGGCCTCCCAAAGTGCTGGGATTACAGGCTTGAGCCACCGCGCCCGGCCACTTTTTACTTCTAAAATAGCTCTTCTGTCTTTCATCCTGCTTACTGCTCTATGACCATGCTGGATCTGGATTTGATTATCTCAGTGGACACCATGAGAAAGAGAGAGAGATGTACTTCCTCAAATTCAATTATGGTCATTGACTTAACTTAACTTCTCCTTATCCCCAAGGTTGGATGCTGTACAGGCACTGAAAAAAAGGACTCACCAATGTTTGATTTGAAACCCAGGGTAAAAACTGCTCCCCAGTCTCCAGATTAGAAAGCCAATTCCTAGTGTGAGAAGATGCTTAATATTACCTGAGGCCTCAGCTGGGTGAACCTCAGTCAGCACCTTTCAGTTGGACAATAGGCTTTGGTCATCATTGGTACTCTAATAATCACCTACTGCTCAAACAATTTAACATCATAGTTCAACCAGGAATGACAAGGCCAGTAGATTCTGTGTATTTCCCTCACACCTCATGGCCATCAGGTATCATCCCATAAAGCTGCTCAGTCACTCTTCAAGTCTCCTCTGTATCCTTCCCATTCATCAGTGATTTATCTCCCATGACTCTGGCCTTGTCTGCCAAAGTTTATTCCAGTTTTCTCATTCCTCTTTAGCATTCTCACCTACTAGTAAACATATCTCCCCATCTCAGCTCCTAGGAAAAAAACATTTCTTTCATCTCTTGATCTCCTGAGAAAATTGAAAGAAAAAAATTTCTTTCATTTCCTGATCATATAATTCTATATAATTCAGATGACTCCAGAAAAGAATGAAAGGTACATGTCTCCCTGCCCCTATTAGTGATGTCAGATCACAATCTCAACTTTCTGTCAAAAGCCCCTTCTCAAACAATCATGCCACCTATGTATACCCCACCTAGTCTTATAGTAGTATTTATGACCTTCTGGACACTTCCTTATATATATTGATGCCTTCAACCCAAACTCGAGTTTTTCTCACCATCAAAAACCTTGTGTCTATCCTTAGCCAATTTAATTTGCTAGTATCTATAATCCATCCAGTATCTGAGTTCAGAGTGTCTTGACCTTATCATATCCAGAGACTGTATATGTGTTACATTTCAGTGACCATCCCACAAATTCCTAGGACCTCATCATGATCCAGAATGGTCCACATTTAAAATGACAAAAAACTCTCTACACTTTGGCTCTTTCAAATATTTATTTTTGACTTTAGGGAAAAGTTCAAATTCTTTTGCCTGGCATGTAGAGCTCTTAAGCATTCTGGCAACCACTTATCTTTCTAATTACATCCTCCATAATTTCCCCTGTCAACTTGACTTCATCTTTTGTTCTAGCCACAATGAACTGTTCACCATTTATCAGACACACCTAGTCGTTCATCCATATATGCCCCTGTCTGTGCTTTTTCCTCTTTCTGGAATATTCTTTTCCAAATCTCCACCTCATTATAGCTTAATCTTTCAGAATCATTTTGAGTTATTTCCTGCCTCCTCCAACTCCCTAACACAGTGTCTTTCTAAGTCTGTTTTTCATCTGTGCTTGCAACAGATTAAGAATAAATGTTCAAGTTATTGTAACTTTTAAAAATACACCTACATGTCAACATGATCAGGAATAAGTTTCATCAGTTAACAAAAGCTCACTATTCTACATATTTCTGTTGAATTTTCATTTTTACAGATTAAACAAAAAATTTCAAGAGGCAGCCTCAATTCAAATAGTTAAATATCTTTGTCCCAGACCAGTACAGTATAAGAACATTTTCATTAAAATATCAGTACAATTGGGTAGGTAATGCTACTTCTTTCTTTTGTTCTTAGGATCAATTTTCCCCTTGAAATAAAGTCACTTCCAAGGGAATCCATGCTCACTGTAAAACTATTTGGGATTGCCTGTGCAACCAACAATGCAAATTTACTGGCTTGGACTTGTCTTCCACTGTTTCCAAAAGAGTAAGTGTATCAATTGTGAGTAATAAGCCTATCATTTCAATAAAACATTCTTAGAAGTAAATATTTGGGAGTATATGGCATAATGAGGAAATCAAGACATTTTATTCTAAAATGGACATAGTTCAATATAAGTCATGACTGCTGAAAGCAGAACTGAAAAGTAAAATTGTAGAAATGGCTTTCAAAACAGGACTCATGCTGAACTTGTCAGCGGGGTCATTTATAATGAAAAGATATAGGCATGACCAGTCTCAATTACTTTTTCTTTTCTGACCAACTGATTTCTTTGGAATTAGTAATTCAAAATGATTTGGATTAATACTGTCATTTAGAAAGAATGTAATTCATGGAATTCTGGCTAAAGTAAAATTATACAAGGTAACTGACTTACTGACCTTTTCTTGTCAAGAAGAAATATTTAGTAACTTTAAGGTGATATTTTTCAGAAAACTAGGTCAATTATAAGTTCAGATATTCTCTCAGAACTAACGATCATTGCAAAATGAAGTGTTTATTTAACCATAAGTCTTGGAAAATATTAATATTCGGAATACTTGATAAAATCAATTACATGATGTTCTATGGTATTAAGGAAAAAATATTTTTTAAAAATCAACCATTTTTCACATGGCTAGTCTTGCTTCAGAATCAAATGATAAAATTTGGGACTTTCAAAAAATCAGCACATATATTGTAATGTTAATATTTTTATAACATATGTTTTTCCCTCTGCTGCTTTAGAAAGATATGGTGATACAAATTTTTTTAAGTTATTAATTTTTATTTCCCAGACCTAATCAATATAAAAAATTATTATCAGCAACCATAATAGATGTTTCAAATCTTCTTCGTTGGATTAATTCTGATGTAAGCTCTGTGTGTGTGTGTGTGTGTGTGTGTGTGTGTGTGTGTGTTGCTCTGTTGTTTGTTCTCATGCTTTAGCCCATTTCTATACCATTGTTCCTGGAGGACAGGGAATGTATTTATCTTTGTCATATCTATCATCTAACGTAGCACCTCATATAAATAGGCAATCAGTACAGGTTTGTTTACTAAATTGAATTGAGGGAAAAAAACAGTCCCTATAGAGGAGATAAAGAATGAAATAAGATTTCAAGGTCTATAAGAAACAGTTTATCCCTAAAAGCAATACCTACTGCTGTTAGACATCTCAAAGATATGATTTGTATGCTAAGAACTTTATTTTCTTTCTCACTAGGAACAGCTGTACAAGTGTCCTTCCTTCTCTTGAGTGAGTTTCCTTAAAGTTTCACCTGCAGTATTTGTAAGATCTACCATTTTTTGTAGAATATTTCTAGCTAGTCACTGAAAAAAAGAAAAAAAGGTTAAGTCCATTTTACTCTCACATCATGTAACACACTACTTGCACACAGCAATCAATAAACACTAAACATACAAGAATTTAGGAATATTTTTGTCTTTAAAACTAATCTTCAAGGCATTTTTCCAGATGGTTATGATAGTAAAAATACCACCTCTATGTTGTTTTGTCATATGTCACTTACCATTGGTAAGCACGTT